CTGGGACTTCCCATGAACTGCCACCGGAGAAGTGTGACCCATAATATCAACGCAAGGCCATTCTAGGATGAAGGTGTCGTCTGATTGGAATACAAATTTGTTGACTGTTGGGAAACATGCTATGATGGACGGTGATCCATAGACGACTTTTACCACAAAACAAGAATTGATTAAAAGGAAAACTAATGAAAAAAGTTTGAAAACTTTAAGTTTTAACGATAAAAACAAAATAAAGGGTAAAGTGAATAGTATCAGGATTGATTTTTTAGTGTAAAAATATGATTTTTCGTTAAAGTGAACAGTACTCGAAGCTTTTCGTTTAAGTTCCCTTGATTAAACACCGAATAGTTACTAACATTCATAGTCCATGGAGATGTAAATGTGGATTCACACTAAATCTTAATAAGCAAGTTATTTATGACTGTTTTTTGTGGGGACTAAATTTTAGATTATTTATCCTCCTAATTCATCACCTATCAACACTTCTTTGAACTCGATTTTTTCGTACCTCTTTTAAAGGTATAGATTTCTGTGAGCTCAGGATTTGCTTAAATTAAAAAAAAAAAAAAAAAAAAAAAAAAAAACAGCTTCTTAAAAATGTTAGGGCCTTAATTATGTTTGGTAAATGAGAAAAAAAAAAAATCTTTAAAATTATGGATCCGAAACAGCAGAAAACATAAGTAATTCTACACATGCTTCTTAAAAAGCCATTTTTTTATTGGAGGCTTGTGAACAGTACCAATTAACAAAACTTTCATATTAACAATCCTACCCTCATCTTTTTGTGTTAAGAGCATTTTTAGCGCTATAGTTTACCAAACACTTGCTTTCTTTCACAACTGTTTATTCTCACAGCATAACATAAGTAGCTTGAAAAAAAAAACAATAATAAGGCTAGTTTGGGATTTATCTTACAATGTGCAGATCTTTGACAAACAATAAGTGTAAGACTAGAATTCATTATATCTACAAAGCTTATTCAAATCTCATTTGAACACTGTTGTGGATGCGAATAAAGTTTGAAAAATAGCCTAATCAATATATATGCCTTGAAGCAAAAATTCAGCATACTTAATTTATTTTTTTATTTTTTTATTTTATAACAAAAACTATAACATTACAAGTTTCAAACCTAAAACAAATTATTATACTTCCTCCAAACAAAAACATAGTAGAAGTACGAAAAAAGGGAAGGAAATAAAACATACTTTGCTCGTTTAGTATTGATAAAATCATCTGGACAACGAAGAACTTTGAAGTACCACAAGAATGTGAGTAATTCACCCACAAGTGGAAGTCCCATGTGGCCGGGCGGCAACTTAGCACCGGTAGACGAATGTTGTAGTTTGAGAAGAAGCACATACCAAAGCTCATTCCACCACCACAAAAGCAACCCCAAAAGTGGCAATTCCGAGAACCAAGGCCACCCCCACTCCCATAGAGATATCCATGTATGTGCCTTGATCCTGTCTAGCTACAGAATATGTAAATCGATCCTCCCTGGCTCTTGTCCTAGCTAATGCCAGTGCCACATTTGGCTATATAGTTCTGGTTGATTCCGAGTTGATTATTCGTCTTACAAAGTTGAGCAAATAGATAAGAGAATACCAACCCCACTGAAAATGTTTCATGTCACGTCTTACTATATGATTTTGATTCCTTAATTAAATAATGAGTATTAAACTGCAGCTGTATTGTCTTTATTATTACTTCTGTCTCTATACTATATGATTTTAAATGACAATATTGTAAATGTGTGAGTTTTGTGCCGACATGTAAGCAGATCGTATTTGGATGAGTTGGTCAAATTCATATCCAATCGATTCATTAATCCGACATCCTTGGTGAGTCGCATGCTGTCAGCGAGATACTTTCCGAATTATGATTCTTTTTTGAATGCGGGAATTGGAACAAGGCCATCATACGTTTGGCGATCACTGGTGTGGGGGAGAGAGCTTCTGAAAGCTGGATTGCAATGGCGCATAGATAATGGACATAATGCACGTGTTGGTATATGATGATAAATGGGTGCCTAATGAAATGGGGTTCACAGTCACTAAGCCACCTAGAGTTTGAGAGTTGTGTGATCTTATTACTGCTGCCTATGTTTGAGTTTGAGAGTTTGTGATCTTATTACTGCTGATAGAGAATGGAATAATTATAGGGAGATGCTTAATGCCGGTTTTTGGGAGAGGGATGTGGAAGCTATATTGCGGATTCCGTTGACTCACGGTGAGGTGCAAGATATCCAAATTTGGCATTATGAGATGAATGGGAAGTATAGGGTGCGTAGTGGATATCGATTGGCCCGAATGATCAAAACTCTATCAAGTGGAATGGAGGGCTCGTCGAGTACGGCTGGTGGTTCTCTACGGAAATGTGTGTGGGCTGTGTCTATACCTGACAAAGTTAAGCATTTTGTCTGGAGATTTTTGAAGGAAATTATCCATTGTGGCAGTAATCTTTACCAAAAAAAGATTAATCCTTCACCGTGGTGTGGACGATGTGAAGAGAAAGTGGAGAAGACTCTTCGTGCGTTATGGGGTTGTGGGAAGGTGATTGAGATTTGGAAGGAATTTAGTTGGTGGGAGGCGAGCAGGGAATGGAAGGTTCAGTCGTTCTTCAAGAATTGGTGAGCCATGGTGTTGGTCTCGACGAGGGAGGAACTCGATTTGTTTGCAATGGTTTGTTGGGCAATTTGCATTCAAAGAAATGGAAACGTTTTTTAAAACAATCAATGTCATTCTTGGGAGGTTGCTGCACGTGCAAGGCAATTGTTGGAAGAGTTTCGTCTGGTGTATGGATCGGATTGCAACCACAACAATAGGGCTGCAACTCATGTTTCCTGGCAGCCACCGACGTTAAGAGTGGTGAAAGTTAACGTGGATGGTTCTGTGCAGAGGGAGGGGGGGAGTCCGAGGTATTGGGGTGATCATTCGGGATGATCAGGGGTTGGTAATGGCTGCTTCAACTCCAATCATGCTTTCTATCCACCTCTTAATATAGAGATTCATCTAACAACTCCTAAATATAGAGAGGGAGAAAGAAGCTCATTCTGGCTCGCTATAATTAACACGCTCTCTATAATTAATGTTAATTGTTTTAATATCATTTTAAATAAATAATTAATTCATATTGGCTAATTATTAATTCATAGTAATTGTGACTCTCTAAGGAGTATGATTGGAGTACAATTTTTTTATAGAACTCCTAGAATAACTTTTGAAAGTTTTAGTTAAAACTTTGCTATAAAATACAGAGAATGATAGAAGATGCTTACAAAATAAATAAACAAACATTATATGGTAGAAGGTAGTGCAATGAAAATATGTCTACACTTACTTTCAAAGTATAACAGAATAAAAGTAAATAAACTTAATTTATCTATCTCTATTATTATAATGCCAAATCTTTCTTATAAAAAAAATAATAATTGCAAGCATTTCTCTTTGGTGTTACAAGTTTCATCATAATTTTCCATAAATTGTCAGTTGATGGGGAGAGGGGATCGATAGGATCGAATCCGTACCAGGGTGCATAGATAACATTGCTTTCTGCCATTGTAGCAAGACATTATTTGCAAATGAGCCAATTAATTAAAATGGTAAAAAACAAAATACTCCCGTGTAAATGTACACTCTAGAAAAAATTAACATTTAAGGAAAAACATGTATCAAGTATAAGAAAAATAATTAAGAAAAAAAAAATTAGTACGGGCATGCCAAGATACTAGTACAATGTTAACAAACGCAGAACTTTGTATTAAACATTTATTATTATTTATTTTTCAATAAATTCTGTTAACAATCAACAAAAAGCCTAATTTACAACCAAAGTGATCAGATAAGTTCTTGTTAGGCAACACATAAGTTTGGTTTTGAATATACAGTTAAAGATTGGGAGAAACTCAAGGCTTGGGATAAGAAGAAATATTTTGTTTGTAGTTTGTACTGGTTTGTTAAGGTACGTAGTGCAGGTAAACTTAGAATCCAAGTCAGTGGTCATAACTCACAAGTCATCACACCCATAACAAGCTGCTTCGCATTTCTCGCACCAATCATGCATGCCAATCATAACTATGTCAACACTGCTAAACTTTCAAACTTTCTACTTAATTAGACTCTAACCGTTTCCGATTTCATACCTTAGATAATTATCCGGGTAAGCCGGTAGAATCAAATCTGAGATAATTATCTATCCTAATTTTGATTACACTAACTAATTAAGATAAACTATTCAACAAAAAAAGAAAAACTAATTAAGATAAACTAAGCTCTTATATATAATAAAACAAGAGAGCTACTAGACTCACCCATTATCTTATTTTCCTATAATCCCACCCACCTTAAAAAGTTAAAAAATTAAAATGCTATTTTCCCACCCATTATTATTCCCAAAATAACCTTTAATATATACGTACATATGAAATTATAAAATTGTCTCTTAAAAAATATAACAAATAATATGTAAATGAAAACTACTAAGGTTTGCAAATTCAAATGGAAACAACATGGGTATCCAAATTCAAAAGAATTCAACAATGACAAATTTAAAAATATGATGGACAAATTCAAATGACCAACACACAAATTATTCTTCTACCTTTTCAATGAAAACATAATCTTCTACCTCTTCCGTAGAAGCGTCATCTTCTACATGTTCAATGAAAAAGTCATCGTCTAAGTCTATTGCTATTTTTTTACTTTCTCTAAATGAAAGGAGATGAAAATATGAGTTAGGGTTTAAGGTAGACAAGTTGTCTCCCATGCCCAACCTGTTTTTTTTTTTTTTTTTTTTTTAAATTAAGCAAAACAAGATAATTAATGTTCTTATCAATCTTTTTGTAAATGGATAAATTTGTAATTAAAAAAAGATGAGTGGGAAGATAAGATATTGGGTGGGAATAACATCACTATAAAACAAAAAGACGCAATGTGGTTTAAGAGAGGTTGGTGACCAGCAAATGCGGAAAACATAGAGAGGAAGAGAGGAAGAGAGGAAGAGAGGAAGAGAGAAAGAGAGAGAGAGAGAGAGAGAGAGAGAGAGAGAGAGAGAGAGAGAGAGAGAGAGAAAGAAAGAGATGGAGAATGACAATGATTCTTCACCATTAGAGCAAGCGCTTCCTTCAAACCCTAGAAAAGGAGGATGGAGAGCTATCAAATACATTCTTGGTACACAATATCATATTATCTTGTATTCATTTTTTTTTTTCATGTGATTTATGATGGGGTTTTGGCTTGCCTTTTCGTTAATTTTGTTTCGTTTGTTGATTTATATGAAGGGAATGAATCGTTCGAGAAGCTGGCTTCGATGAGTTTGATAGCCAACATCACAGTGTACTTGAGTACAAGATACAACTTAAGTGGAATATTTGTGGTAAATGTGATTAATATATGGAATGGTACATCCAATGCTGTAACACTGGCAGGTGCCTTTTTGTCTGATGCTTATCTGGGCAGATTTCGTGCTCTTCTCCTTGGATCCATATCATCTTTCCTGGTAATAATTACGATTTATCTGTCTCTCTTCTAATCAGAAGTTCTATCTCACTCTTGATTAATCAATTTAACCCATTATTTGGAATTTCAGTCTTACAAAACTCACGTTGAAGTGAAATATTTAACTGATATTCCACGTTGAAGTGAAATAATTAACTGATATTCTATATGCTTAGAACAAAAATAAAACTATAAAGACATTAAACAGACAACAAATTAGCACCAAACTGGTGTTTATACATGGCTTATCATCTGTTTAGTGTGTCCCATTTCTATTTTATTCAACACTGAATCCAGGAAAATGGTGACTTTGTACGTGAAGTTGCAAATTTTTCTTCACACTTTTTCATTTTATTTCAGGGTATGGGAGCCATAACCCTTACGGCATCTATAGATAGCTTAAGACCCTCCACCTGCAAAGAGCCAGACCATTGCCCTCAGCCCCACACTTGGCAGCTGGTCTTCCTCTACATTGCTCTTGGACTGCTCTCCGTAGGAGCAGGGTTCATCAGACCCTGCAACATTGCCTTTGGTGCTGATCAATTTGACACCAGAACAGCGAAAGGAAGGGCGCAACTAGAAAGCTTCTTCAATTGGTGGTATTTCTCTTTCACAGTTGCCCTAGTTGTGGCCCTCACTGGAGTTGTGTACATCCAGACCAATATCAGTTGGGTCATAGGGTTTGCCATTCCCACTGCCTGCCTTGCTTCCTCTATCACCATTTTCTTGTTCGGCCGCCACACTTACATTTACTTGAAGCCTCAAGGGAGCATTTTTTCGGACATAGCCAAGGTCATCACGGCTGCGTGTCGAAAATCAAGAGTTAGGGTTGCACCGGCTTCCGAACACTCATTTTATGATCCTCCACTGAACAATGCATCTGATCAGCAACATATGATCTTGAAGCTCTCTCACACTAATCGCTTCAGGTTCCTTGACAGAGCTGCAATAATAACGAACCCAAATGAATTGGACAATCAAGGCAAGCCTAGGAGCAGTTGGAGGCTGTGCAGCCTCCAACAAGTTGAGCAACTGAAGTGCTTAGTGGCAATTCTTCCAGTTTGGGTTACGGCAATTGGGACTTTCATGTGCATGGACCAACATAGCACATTCGGGGTCTTACAAATATTGCAAACGGACAGATCCATGGGACTGCATTTCAAATTCGCACCTGGATGGATGAATATCATAGCCATGCTTGCACTTGCAACGTGGATATTCATCTACGAGCAAATTTACCTCCCGCTGGCCCGAAGAAGGAGCAGGAGGAACAAAAGACTGACAATGCAACAGAGGATCAACACTGGCATTGTGCTGTCCATTGTGTCAATGTTGGTATCTGGAATAGTTGAAGAGCATCGTCGGAAAACTGCTTTGAAACACAGATCATTTATTTCGCCCGTGAGCTTTGCGCTACTCTTGCCACAGTTTGTCTTATCAGGGTTGACTGAGGCCTTTGCCGCTGTTTCCATAATGGAGTTTTTCACCATGCAAATGCCGGAGAGCCTGAGGACTGTTTCCGGGGCAGTCTTCTTCCTCAGCTTATCGGTTTCGAGTTATCTAGGCTCTTTGATAGTCAATATAGTCCACAAGGCAACCCAAATGAAGGGGAAAACTCCGTGGCTCGGCGGTCATGACCTTAACAAGAATAAGCTGGACTACTACTACTACATCATTGCTGGCATCGGAGTTGTTAACCTTGTGTATTTCAATTTCTTTGCTCGACATTACGTAACGGTTGGAAGGTCTGGAAAAGGGATAAGGGAGATGCAGCTGGAGAATCCGAGTGTGCATGGTTCAAGAGACCGAGTGGAACGTGAATCGAAGGATGAGGAGAAAGGGTTGGGAACTCATGCGTAGATGGAGATGGACATAATTATGTTATTTGTGCTTTTATGTTATTTATGCTATTTTGTTTGTTAAGAATAACGTACCTGGAAATGGACAATTTATTAATGCTATTCTGTTAGTTTGAAAGTATCTATATGAAGTTAGGCAGTACTAGAAAAAGCCGACTAGAGAGGGGTGGACAGTGGAAACACATGACAATACTCACTTGGCCGTGTGTTGCCTATTCCTTTTTCTTCGATGCAATCAACCGTAGTAGTGGATCGTGGTGTTATCAATACTCTAATGTTACAACACATGTACTTATTTATTAAAACTGTATAATTCATAAAATATCGATTATGTTGTCCATCTATATTATAACACGTAAATTAATAACATCACGTGATAAAGAGATCATCACACTCAAATTTTTTACGTATTTAAACATGCAAATCATTTGTTTATTGTGTTTATAGTGAACACCACATGTGTCTAGCTCATGTCCCAGTTGCAATGATGTAATGGAAACCATAAAAACGTAGAATACTGGAAAATGTTTGAGTGAATTTGCATACCATCAACGTGATGAATTAAATACCATCAGTCTGATGGGTGCTATGTATTTATAACGTACAGATAATTACACCAGGTTTTCAAAAAACCTATTTATGGGTTGGGAGTGGTCTATAAAATTCAAAACAACAACAATATTTGAATAAAATACAACTAACAAACTTTATCTTGAATAAATAGGACTCTGATAACAAACTTGAGAGTTTGTATTTAAACTAAAAGTCTTACGTGGTGTAACAAACCACACACTTGTGGCTCGTGCAGTCCCCATAAAAATCCATGCAAGATTTTTTCTTTTAATTCAATTTTTATCAATTTGGGTTGATAAGGATTGGGCTGGGGTTCTTAGAAAAAAACGAGGATACAAATTAAAATTTGGTGTGTAGTATAGTGTTTAGAATACGGAGGGAATTCGTCCGACCAGTGTGTCAAATAAAATAACTCAAAAGGAAAAATTGCTTTGATGATATCCAAACTACAGAAAAGAAGAGCTGGACACCAAGTCCATTATTATGGCAGACTTACCAGTCATGAACGAAAAACATACATTACTTCTAATGAAGGGACCCAACTTTTGCATGTGACGTGCTTACAACCCAAAATACGAAGGGAGACAGAAATTGAAATTCTTTTTTTTTTTTTACTAAATTTTTCGGATCGTCATTTCAACTTTATTAGCTGGAGTTAGGTGGCGTAGAGAGAAATGATTTCAACATCTGGGTTGACAAGAAATTTGTTAGTGTGGCGTGAATATGGCCAAATACACAAAGTGTTATAATACAAGTGATTGAAATTTTTTTTAAATATCCAACTAATTGTATCATGACAGGATGTACTAGACTATTCTTCTTGAAAAATTTCTCACAACTTCCCAGATGAAAATTTCATTAATTACAAATATAATTCATAATTCAATAATGCCTTACATAAACACTAGAGTTTGGAATTCAAAAGCATACATATAGCACTTGATGACAAAAATTGAGTTTCAAAGATGCCAATATCAAAAGGGAAAATTCTAGGGCACTTTGGAAAGAAAAGAAGATAACGGCTAATTAATTGGCTCAGATTTCCTCTTGATTAGAATGTCGTGTTCCCCTTCAATAATTACGTGAAAATTCCCTGGAAATTTGAGTGAGTTTGTGGACTTTAACACATGAAAAGACTAAATGATTTTAGCTATCAATTTACAAGACTTGGTGCATGCATCATTGATATTCACTCGATATATTTTGATAATATTAATATCAACAATCCCTCAGTACTGTTTTAGTCAATCATTGAATCATATCATCATAAAGTCAATTAATATAGTACAGTAATTGATATGTGTAGTTCACTAACCAAAAAGTTGCACTTTATTAAATTTCAGAATATTTGACAAAGCGGCAATCATGACCAGTGAAGACATATCAACCCAGATGGAGAACAACATCAAATCCATGGGGACTTCGCAGCATGCAGGAAGTGGAGGAAATTAAGTGCTTGGAGAGAGTGGTTCCAATTTGTATCTCAGAAGTTATATACTACGTTGCCTTGGTGCAATCCGACAGGCACTTTGGCAACACCGGCTTTAAGATCCCCGTCTTACACAATATTCACCATGCTTGCCCTCACAATTTAGATGCCAATTTATGACAGACTCAATTCCCAAAATTGGCACTAATCGGACTTTTGGAGGCTTTTACAGTGATCACCCAACTGGAGTTTTACCAAGCAATTCCCAGAAAGCATGAGAAGCATTGGGGGTTCATTTTTGTTTGTAGGGATGGCAATGTCCAATTACGTTATTTGTCAATGGTTCACCATACCAGTGATTGGCTGCCTGAAGATCTTAACACCGAGATTCGATTACTTTATTTATTATGCGGTTGCTGTATTGAATGCCTGAATGGTTTGAGTACAAACGAAGTTGTGAAAGTGCCTCTGAAGTTTGGACGGAGAATATGCAATCTGAGAAACATCTTGTTTGATAGACTAAAGATAAAACGTAGCTAGCTAGCCACAAAATCGTGGTCCCGATTAGGATAAATTCGTACATGAAACGGGTGTGTAGAATTTCCCTGTTACAATTTTACTTTTTCCCTCTTATGTGCGGTTACTCTAAGATGTATGTATACAAATGTTGTATGCAAGAATTTCTTATACGCCACACCAACAGAAACGATTATAATTGCAACACGTGTTTTCTGATTGGTCAGATTTACGAAGATCAAATGATAAGCTCTCCATCTCCAAGTCGAAAACACAAGCCAAGAGAGGACTCCATTTATGAAGAAAATTAATGAAAGCTCGATGCTGATCATCCAATGCACATATACCACAAGTGGGAAATGTCGACTAATAATTCAAGCAAAACGGTCGTGACTGGTAGCTCTGCTACATGTATAGTCTAGCCAGTGGACTCATAGTCAACCACGACGACTTGTTGGTCCAACAAATCTCAGTAAACATATGAAAATACTACTCAAATCGGGACAACTGGCAAACACAAAGAAACGGTGTCTCAATCGATTCATCTAGGTAAAAAGGACAATAGTCGTGACAGGTAGCTGGGCTACAGGAGATACAGCTGCTTGATTATTGTAAATCTGGCTCTAATGAAATACACCGGATCCGTTTATTTTGTCAAAAGTGCTTTGTGAATTGCATGGTCGAATTTTCTTCTCGGATTATATAGTTCCTTGTGGTTTCTCCTTTTTTCCTAAAACATGAAAGCAATCATGGAGAAGAAAGAGAGAGATAGCATGGAGAAGAATGAGAGAGGTTCTACGGATGAAGAACCAGTTATATACCGAGGATGGAAAGTAATGCCATTTGTCATAGGTGAGCGCAATATTTTGCATTTTTATTGCTTCATGTTCTTCTCATCAGATTAATATCCTTTTCTCTTCTGTTTAATCATGAATTTATCTTAATTTTGTTCGCTTATTTTTGAGCATCTGCATAAAATTTCAGGAAATGAAACGTTTGAGAAGCTGGGAGCCATTGGGACCTTGGCCAACCTCTTGGTCTATCTCACTAGTGTATTCAACATGAAGAGAATTACAGCTGCGACTCTTGTTACCATCTTCAATGGCACCACCAACTTTGCAACCTTGCTCGGAGCTTTCGCTTCAGACACTTATTTCGGTCGTTACAAGACGTTGGGATTTTCGTCAATCGCTTCTTTTATGGTACTTACAAAACTAACATTTTCTACTTAGATTCATTTTCAGTGTCCAGCATATAAAAATTAGGGAAATATGCACTAGTAGACAATAAATCGTATATAAAATAACGTTGACTACCTCTTTATTGTCTATTTGGCATCCATCTGGTTCAATTTTCGTAGCGGCCCATCTAGTGCATATATATTTCCTCAAAAATTAAGCTTTGATTCATTTCTCTTTCAAGGTTAATTTCTTACTTCAAGAACCCTTTTGACTAATTAGCTCCAAATGTATCTTAAGCTTGCTCAGAACTTTCATTTCCAACACTTAATTATCTTGATCGTTATCAAAGGCTGACATATTCGGATATTGCTTCCTTTATGGTACTTACAAAACTGCCATGTGCTACTTTGATTCATTTTCAATGTCCAACATAAGAAAATTCCGGAAACATGCACACAAATAAGCAATAAGCTGTTTGTAAACCACCTTTTAGTGTCTTTTTATTGTCTGTTTAACGTCCATCCGGTTATATATTTGATTGAAAGTTTGTAACTCATTTTGTTTCTGCATATTTCCTCGAAAATTAAGCTTTGATTCATTTTCACTTCCAAAGTTTCTTACCTCATCATGAACCCTGTTGACTCATTAGCTCCAAATGTATATATCTTAATCCTATGATTAATTTGTTCCTTTATCTAGGGACTGCTGCTGATAGATTTTACTGCGGTATTCAAGAACTTGCATCCTCCTCACTGCAAACCAGAAGAGCAAGGAACATGTAAAGGGCCAACAGCTGGTCAAATGGCATTTTTACTAACTGGTTTTGGGATGCTAATAGTAGGAGCTGCAGGCATCAGGCCATGTAACTTGGCATTTGGGGCAGACCAATTCGACCAGAAAACGGAGTCGGGAAAACGAGGAGTCAACAGCTTCTTCAACTGGTATATGTTCACCTACACTTTCGCACAGATGATAGCATTGACCCTCATCGTCTACATCCAGTCAAATGTAAGTTGGGGTCTAGGATTTGGCATTCCAGCCATTTTGATGTTGATATCATGTGTTCTCTTCTTCATGGGATCAAAAATGTACGTGAAAGTGAAAGCCTGTGGTAGTCCGATGAATAGTGTAGCACAGGTCGTGGTAGTTTCCATTGCGAAAAGGCATTTGAAGCTTAAAGAGCCAGAGCGGCCATGGCTCTCCATGTTTGTTTATATGCCTCCCGATTCTATCAACTCCAACCTTCCTTATACAAATCAATTCAGGTAAATTAGCTATAACTTCATGCACTTTATATGCCTTGGCTGTGAAAGAAAGAAATTTATCTACGCCTAGAATCATTCTGGAGTTATTCTAAGTCAATCACGCACTGTCATGGCGATTGGTGATTGGATTAAATTACAAAAGATTAAGCTGATGCACATGTATGGAACATATTAAAGAACGGACGCCATGAACATGCACAAAGAATTACTGCATATACATGTTCTTTAATTGTCTTCTAGGAGTTTCGGTTTTGAACACGTTCTTTGATTTCAAATTAGAAACTCTTTGAATCAAACCAAAGAAGATTCAGTGTGACGGTCCATATATATTCAAATTTACGGATGAAACTGAAGTCTTTGAGTTTGACTCAAGGGAGTTTGAGATGTGAAATCCATGCGGTGGTGTAGGTAAGTTCTTAAAAATGTTGTTGTCACTTCTCAGATGCCTTGACAAAGCAGCAATTCTTACGCCGGACGACAAAATCAATCCGGATGGTTCAGCTGCTGATCCTTGGAAACTTTGCAGCATGCAACAAGTGGAAGAAGTGAAATGCTTGCTGAGAGTTTTGCCAATATGGGGAGCAGCCCTCATATACCATATTGCCATAGTCCAGCAGAATACGTACGTTGTCTTCCAAGCCCTTCAATCCAATCGACGCCTTGGAAAAACAAGCTTCCAAATCCCGGCTGCATCCTACTCAATCTTCCTGATGCTGGGCATGACCATATGGATACCAATCTACGACCGCCTTCTTGTCCCGTTCCTCCAAAGGCTTACGGGAAAAGAAGGTGGCATCACATTGTTGCAAAGAATAGGAATTGGCATTTTTCTCTCTGTGATCACGATGCTAGTATCTGCATTCGTAGAAGAACACCGAAGGACTATAGCGCTAACAAAACCAATTCCAGGAATCCGAACAAGGGGTGACATTTCTTCCATGTCTGGCTTTTGGCTGGTCCCTCAGCTCACACTAGCCGGGCTTGCTGAAGCGTTCGCTGCCATTGGCCAAATTGAATTCTACTACAAGCAGTTCCCGGAAAACATGAGAAGCATTGCAGGGTCTCTCTTCTTTTGTGGAATGGCAGGTTCTAGTTACTTGAGTAGTGCGTTAATCGCCATAGTTCACCGGACTACTGAGGGGGCTAAGACCGGAAACTGGCTGCCGGAAGATCTCAACAAGGGGAGGCTGGATTACTACTATTATCTTATTGCTGCTCTAGGAGTCATTAATTTGGGATACTTTTTATTGTGTTCAAAGTGGTACACGTACAAAGGGGGTGGGGACAACAATGCCCTTGAAGTTGAGGTAGTGCAGAAATCACATGATCAACATGAGATTTGATGCAGTATTATTAGGGTTTACATGCTAAAGCTGAGTGATTGTAACCTAGATGGGGATGAATATTCATGCTAGATCTCTAAACTACATTTGAAAAATAAAACCATTGTCAATAATAGCATGTTTACTTACCTGGAATGAGTATAAGAAGAGACGATATTCTAAGCCCCAACTTTCTGACATTTTCTAATACATGTGAGTCCCACTGTGCAATCTTTCATCTAGTACATGAATAACTAGGACTTAGATTGATTATACCAAGAATTGATATGATAGTCGATAATTTTCTCTACTATTCTCGACTTTTTTCCTATTCCAAGTACGTAAACAAGCTCTTGACACGTTTCAAGACTCAGATTTGTGTTTAATCATATCAAACAAAACAAAACAAAGGATGGCAACTTGTGGGGCTACAGATAAATCGAACGAACAGTTTCGATTAATGGAGAGAAGTTTATTTCCGTCGACTCTTAATCACAAGGAAGAGGGGTAGAGGGAAGAAAAACGTAGACAACAGCTGATTGAAGCACTCATTTTACACGCCGAAAACCAAAAAGCAGAGTAGCAAATTTAAAACGACTGTCTACGACGACGTCGCTCACAACATGCTGAGTGCGTCTTTACTCTCAGCACACTAGGAGGGAGAGGATTCATCATCTTATACAGTATATAACAAATAAATACATTCTATCCGGTTTAAACTGTGTATGATTGCTGAATCGTGTCAATGTCCAGCCCCTTCAATCTCACCACGGATTCTACGTGGCCTTTCAGCGTAGTGAGTTCCCTCAACCTACAAGAAGATGGAGTCGCGGTTGGAGATTAGTGAAGAAGATCAAACAACACGAAGAAACTGAACTCTCAAGCTGAAAAGAAAAACTGGTGCTCACCTTGCAATCTCAGCTCTTCTTTTGGCTTCTTCGGCGATCTGATTGAGTTCTGTGAAATGTGTTCGTTCAGTAAACATCTTGGTGTCCGGTGGTTGCAACCCGTGCAATGTCCTTTGTGCGTGTGCCCATTGAAGCTCTCGTTGTTCCTTTCCAAAGTCCTTTTGCCTTGTGAAAGCAACCTAGAAAAACAAAAACAAGAACCCCTCAGTGAACGGTTAACAAGAAATTCCCCGATCAAGTAAAACCGGGTAAGCAATCAGAGTTTCAACAATCGTACCCTCTGTTCAATCAGAAGATCCCAAGCCTTCCCACTCAGAGCGTAGCGTATCATGAATTTTATGATATCCAGAGGGATATATGTGACTATATTATAAAGCCAGATCACCCCGGCCCAACCCCATCCGATCCCCTCAATGGCAGCAAAACTCCAGTTTGCATAGACCGCAATCAAGGTCGCAATCTGCTCAAAATAGAAGGTAAGAAATTCAGCTTCCCTTCAAGATCAATCAAAATGAATATAAAACGGGATGATTGAGAAAATTGGCTAACCAGCTGAGCTATTACAAAAGCCACCACAAGCAACAGTCCAGGACGCTCAATAAACGACCAACTTCGAGACCGTGTAACAAATATCAGAGCCTGGCTAATAATGCTCACTTGTAGATATATAGCAGAGGCAAGCTTCCGAAAGTCATCATTAGCTGTTTTCTCAAGGGTTGACACCCCAAATGTTCTCTGAAACAATCAGTGGCTAGATATTAATTAATCGTTACAAAGAGATGACAAGCAGCCACAAAATAAGCAAATTAGCTCCAAGAAGGCATATTTTATGACAGCAAGTGATACATCTGCAACGATCAGAACATTTTATGATCGAACAAGACGGAGAATCTTACTGGGAAGAAGTCTGTTTTGTATGCTGCCCAAAAGAATATCACAGTCATTATTGCCAAGTAACTTCCAAGCACTATTCCAGTTGCAAAAATCTCGGCCAGCTTCCAGCTATCTGGCAGAGGAGACGGTTTAACCCTGTCCTTTGATATTGTCATGATAGTACCTAAAAGGTCATTCTGTTAGTAAATTATGTGGAAAATACACTTACGGCTATAGAAAAGTGCACGCGTTTTCAGCAAACATTGACCAAACATCAATAAAAGATGGAGCTAATGAGAGACAAAACAGATGACTCTACTAAAACAAAATTACACAAATGCGTACAGAGAGAGAGAGAGAGAGAGATTGTGAACAGGGAAAAGAAAGTACAAACCATCATTGAGGATCGCAATAATAAGCACCATGAAAGGTGGAAAGTCAAACTTCCATATGAGAGCCAGCAACATGAAGCCAAGCTGCCATAAAAAAAGAATCAGAAAAGAAACGCAATACTATTGAACGCTCTAAAAGAAATTTATTTCAAAATTTTATGCACAGATGCCACTTACCACAATACGAATTGTGATGGAAACAGCATATATCTGCCAGCCATTAACAACAAGAATTTGTTACTTATATAGTTCACTGGTAAGGCGGACAATGACGCTTAATCACAAGAATAATATGCCACCGTAGATGCAAAAGCTTACTGTGTAATTTTTCATCCTCTGGAAGATTGCCCGACTGGTCAAAACAGCACTAATGATGACACTAAGGCCAGGTTCAGTAAGCACAATATCAGAAGCACTACGAGCAGCATCTGTTGCATCAGCAACAGCTATACCAATATCAGCTTTTTTAAGGGCAGGAGCATCATTGACTCCATCACCAGTCATTCCACATATATGTTTCCTAGCTTGCAAGCGTTTCACAATCTCGTATTTGTGCTCTGTACCAATACAAAATTAATCCGGTCAATCTAAATTGGATAATTGAAACCACGGTCTAGCAACCAAGAGTAAAACCTAAAAACTTTTTCTTTCTCAAGCATATACTTGGGTACGTGCTTGAGCTTTCCCCAACAATGAAGAGGGAAGAAGCATACCTGGGAAAACCCCAGCAAAGCCGTCAGCTTTTTCTATCAGCTCATCAATTGGTAAAGCAACAATTGACTCATCCTTGTCCTGTCCTAGCAAAGCAGATGAAGGGTACATATTGGTTCCCATCCCCAAGCGACGTCCAGTTTCCTTTCCAATTGCCAGTTGATCCCCTGACAAAATACAATGTTGAGCAAGACGGCAACAAAAACAAAGAACTAAATATCATCACTTTTTGTACTGAACTTGGAGGTTGGGTGGCAGGAAACACAACTAATTATGTGCTTGCAGTATTATAGACTCCGATTAATAACAATATTATGAAAAAATAACACAACAAACTTCTACCCATTTCTTTCAACACCAAGTTACATGACATTTATTTATTAAAGGTCAAACACATCCCTCTTTGTCTCTTAAAACAATACAAAGTTACAAACACATTAACATATTAATACACTAGCTTCATCAGTAATCACCCCAAGGATTACTGACATATCACCCCAAGGATGGTCCAACATTACGCAGAACATAAAGATATATTGACAAAAGTATGTTAACTGAAAACACCCACTTGGATTACTCGTGATTTGTTATAGATTCAGCAAAGAATTATTAATGCTTCTTTAGATATCCAACAAGCAGAAACTGTACTAATTTAACCTACTATAAAGCAACATACCGGTAATCATCTTTACATTCACTCCAAGATTTAATGCCCTCCTTATTGTCTCTGCACTGTCATGCCTAGGTGGGTCAAACAGTGGCATTACACCAACAAATTGCCACGGGGCTCCAGCACTCTCTTTCCTTCCTTCTGGAACTTCCTGCATTAAAACAAATGAAATGACTTTAAATAAAGAATAAACTTCTAAACTACTACAGGAGCCCAGAATAAAATTAGAGATTCAGTTACCTGGTATGCTACAGCAAGAGATCGTAAACCTCGCTCAGCAAACTTATCAATAACAGCATGAACTCTGCGCTCGATGTCTGACTTATTGTGTGCAAGATTTAAAATCTAAAAACAATGCAGCTAGGAATTAGTCTTTAATATTGAAAACAGAGGGGGGACAATGACATAAAGTGGAAGGCAATTTACCTGCTCTGGTGCACCTTTGCTAACTCTATGCATTTTACCATCACGGTCAAGATAAGTTAATGCAGTTCGTTTATCAGTAGGATTGAAAGGAAGGAAGTGTATTTCTTGAATGCCAGCACGTGCCTTTTCACAAAAATCAAAAGAAATGGGATCTTTTAAAAAAAAAAAATATCGCATGTATAGCAAATATATTTCAAAAACTACTCAAACTTCACAGCTATGTTTGGAGGCACAATCCAATATAAAGATGTAATCACCTCCTTTGGATCAGCAAGCATCCCAACTATAGCAGTATCTATTGCATCTTGATTCTCCAGTCTGGAGGCTCGAGCTGCCATCAACACAACAGTATCCGGATCCACTCCTTTTGCAAAAACCTACAAGTTTAAAAGTCAATCACGCATGTAAACAAGGATTTTTTTCCATAAAGAAAAGAAAAAAAATTCTATAACAAAGAAGCAACATATCTCCTAAACAACCTCAATAAGATTTTTGTCAACGGTAAGCTTATTCAATGTCAGAGTTCCGGTCTTGTCACTGCAAAGGACATCCATGCCCGCCATCTCTTCAATTGCTGTCATTCTCTTTGTAATAGCTCCCTGCATCCATTATTAACTCAATTAATCATGTTTCAAAACACCTTATACCACATAGTGCTGTAGCATTACAAGGAATCAAACCAACCTGCTGTGCTAATCTATGAGACCCAATAGCCATTGTCACAGACAAAACAGTGGGCATTGCAATTGGAATTCCACCAATGAGAAGCACAAGAAGGTTATCAATTCCAGGACGGTATTGTCGGTCTTGTATCGGGTACATGACAATTATCTCTATTACCATCCCCACAGCAATCGAACATATGCAGAAATTCCCAATTGCAGTCAAGACCTAAACAATGAAACAAAATCAGAATCAATAAAGTCACAGCCCACAAAGCACAAACTAACAGAAAGCAAAAAATAAAAATAAATAAAAAAAAAAACTTGTTTCCCTGCCTTTTGGAAGTGGCCCACTTGATTCGTGCTATCAACAAGGTGAGCAGCTTTCCCAAAGAAGGTATGGACACCGGTGGCAATGACCACTGCATCAATCTCTCCTTGTTTGCAAGTAGAACCAGAATACACACCATCCCCAGGGCTTTTCGTCACGGGAAGGGATTCACCTGT